ATGCAGTATCCTCTTGTTCTGTTCAAACGACAGTCTCCTGTACTATGTACAGGTTCCTCATGAACACACTTAAGTGTTCTGGGATTCCCATTCTTCTCAATGTTATCCACAATTTGTTACGATCCACACAATCAAATGTTTTTGCATAGTCAATAAAACACAAGTAAACATCTTTCTGGTATTCTTTGCTGTCATCCAAAATCCATCTGACATCAGCAATGATATCCCTCATCCCACGTCTTCTTCTGAATCCAGCTTGCATTTCTGGAAGTTCTCTTTCAATATGCTGCTGTAACAATTTTTGTATTAACTTAAGCAAAATTTTACTTGCATGTGATATTAATGATATTGTTTGATAGTTTCCTTACCCAGACTACACTGAATCAAATGCAAACAGCACAAAAATATCACAAACTATAAGCCTCCAAAACACACTATAAAAAACACAGTGTAACTATCGTTAAGAAAGTTATCTTTTCATAATTAGGGGAACCTACTACAGCAGTTTTACTTCTGAGGTGGTTTACATATCACTAATTTGAATAAGAATGTACAAAGTAGCTATAGGTTAAACAGAATGGAGAGGAGTGAGAGCTAGGGAGAATTCAAGGATACAACATACACTCTGATACACCATCTAGAACCCCCTTTTCTCTGTCAGTTGTTGGGAGTGCTGCCAGCAGACCATCTTGAGCTATCAGCCCTCTTCAGAAATTGCCTCATCTGAAGTGAGCTGTCTTGCCAAGAGCATGCCCTCTCCTGACAGATTGATGCAGGTATGAAGGTCTTTGCTCCAACTTAGGACAATTCTGGAAGGCCCTTTGTGCTGTTGGACCCCAAGACTACCCTCAGGTTTGATGATTTGCTAAAAAAGAAATCATTAAAAAAAAAAAAACAACACAAAAACTAAACTCACTGTCGTCGAGTCAGTCTTGACTTACAGCGACCCCGCCTTGAGTTTCCGAGGCAGTATCTCTACAGAAGTAGATTGCCCAGTAGGACTCAACACACAGTTTTATTTGTAGCTAAGATTTATTACAGAGAAAGGAAACATAATAAAAGCAGAATCAGCAAAGGAAAAAGGCACATGAGGAAAAGTGTGGAGGAAACCAGGCACAAGCTTCTGAGAATCCTCTTCCAGTATATACACCAACCAAACTCACTGCCATTAAGTCATTTCTGACCCATAGAGGCCCCTCCTTGTGTTTCCAAGGTGGGATCTCTACGGAAGTAGATTGCCCATTCTTCCTTCCAAGGAGTGGCTGGTGGGTTTGAACTGCCAGCCTTCTGGTTAGCAGTCAAATGCCTTAGGCACTACACCACCAGAGTTCCCTCTTCCAGTATAGACAAACAATCAGAAAAACTTAATTCCTTTACCATCAAATTGTGACAATTCATACTATGTGGTCTACCAGGGAAGCTTATCAGAGGTCCAGTGCCCAAGGTTTTATTGAAGGCTGGTCATGTTAGGACCTTTTGTGTAGCATGTGCCCAAATGCCAGACCCCTAGAAGGAAAAGAGTTATGTTCTGCTTACCTAGTGCTGCTTTGCAAGAATATACCACAAATGGAATGGCCTTATCAATCAGGAGTTTATTCTCTTACAGTTTGGAGGGTTAAGTCTGAGTTCAAAGTGCCAAGCTCTAGGGGCTGGGTGAAAGCCCCTCAACCTTGGGCTTCAGCTCTTCCTCCTGCTCCCAGCCCACTGAAGCTGGAGGCTTTTCTTCACTCAGTAGTTGGCTGCTGAGGCTGACAAGCCCAAGGTTGACAAGTAAAAAGGCACAGTCCTAATGTTACCAAACCATATAGCAGGCCATTAATTCAAATTCAGTGAAAGTCCCAAGGTCGGCAGAGCATGGCAGGCTGCTGAACAACGACATGGCTATGTGCAGGGTTCAAGTGTGCCATAAGCTAGGGATTATTCCCAAAGCTGTTTCTTATATACGGGAAGCAGATCACATACCTAAAGCAGCCACTCAGCTGCTCCAATAGATTCCACCACGTAGTTAATTACCAATCTCACCATGGGGAATAACTACATTGAGCTGCCCAGCCACTCAACCAGGCCCAGCCAAGTTGACACATAAACTTAACCACCACACAGTAATTAGCATAAACCATCATGTCTGAACAATCAGTTTAGGCACAGTGAGCTACTCTTATCAGTTAGGGACTGGAGAGACCCTGCTGAAACCTAAGTTCCCAGATATCAGCCAATAGTCAACTTTACAAGCAGGCCTTTCTAAGGAGAGTCATTTCAAGTCTTTTATGTTAACATTTTTTTTTTTGCACATTATCTCAGCTTAAGAATTTTCAACATGGGTGGCTAAGGTCCCCCATTTACAGACCTAAAGGATGCAAAGAGCAGTGGGTACATGCTTTTCTATCTCTATTACAAAACAGGATCAGGAATAGTTTGCATTCATCACATTACTGAAGAAAATATTTTATTTTTGCGAATATATAATGGATTCTTCACCATTCCATTATTTCTGTAATAATTTTATCTTGTTCTTAAAACTAAGTATATATTTAATACATTTAATCCTTTTTGTAAATTAAAGACTAGTGTATAAGTATCTTTAGCAACCAAAGAAGTTCATTTATACAGAGAAAACGGCCATGTCACATCATTTGTACCTGATTTGATGCTGAGGTTGAACTGGTGTTTTGGTTTATTCCATGAGCCAGAGCCCACTCTAACCTTTAAAGGAAAGTGAAACCTATAGGTCAGCCTTGAGTATCTTAGAAGCCTTTAGATGGGGGATAATTTGATCTTGCTCTATCTCCACTGGACAGTTCTGCTCCAGGCCAGTTTAGAATCTCTTGGAACAGAGGACTGAGGTGTATACTATGTTTAGGTATTTGTTTGAGGCAGCAGGTGGGGAAGGCTCTATTTTTTATATAAGCTTTCTATTGATAACCATTTCTCCATGAGAATAAAGACCAAATGAATTGCTCCAGGTCCTTGCTGATACCAATATTTTGCAGACAGTTAACTATCTATCGGTAATACTAGGCTGAATGAAAAAGAAGACAAGGGCCAAGTTCACCATGAACATTACTAGTAATAGTGACTGCAGCAAACATAGTGGCAGAATCTGGGACTTTACTCTTGGAAATTTCAGAAGGGCTTGATTTATTTTAAGCAGCCATTGTTGTTGTTGTTATATGCCACCGAGTCGGACCTGACTCATAGCGACCCCTCCCTGGGTTTCTGAGGCAGTATCGCTACAGAAGTAGATTGCCCAACCTTCCTTCTGAGAAGCAGCCATTAGAAAGCTAAATTTTGGACATGTTGTGTTTGGATCTATTCTCTTACTTTTATCCATTAATTGGCTTATTTTAACTGTTACCTTCACAAACAGAGAGAAGCAAAAAGTATCCATCATAAAAATCTAAGATCATACCTAAACTTTCCACACAGCATTATGAATTCAAAATTAAATAACTGAAAGAAATAACGGGTAGCTACTGTTTTTTTTTTTTTCCCAAAGATAGTAAGAAGGTATGACTTCAGTGATTCCCTCTTATCATGATGCTGAGACCTTTTAAGTGTGGGTTAAAGTCCACACAGAGGGATGGCTTGGGATCCTACATAAAAAAGTAACATTCAATAAAACAGAAAATTCTTAAATATATATATAGGTATGTATATACATACACACACACATATAAATATATAAAATGCAAGGGACCACAACCTTACTGATATTCATATAAAACAACTAAATTACAATGAAAGAATCAGCACAAAATGCAATTCATTTCTAGTTAATCTACTGAAACAATTAATATTTAAATTCCAATGACTATAGCATGGACTTCTGAATGAGGTTTGTATATATACATGTGCTTCAAACTAGAATGTGGCTTTGGGCTAATAATTTTCATTCTAATCCATAGTATTTATGACTCTTTATTTCCATTGCTTTTAGTAAGAAATTAGGAGAAAAGCTGACACATGGATCCATCAGAAAATAGCTAAGAGAAAGTCTTTCATATATTTTGTAAGGAACTTAAGTGTTCCTTACAAAAGGTGCTGTTTTACTTACCTATTTCTCTACATAAAAGCCTTTGGACAATAATCTCTTCTCCTAGTTAGAGGAGATATTCTAAACTCTTTCTATTTCAACTGCAAGAGCCACAATCATTAATTTCTAATATATATATATTAATGTTACCAATACCAACTTTCTGTAAAATACAAAGCAGCACTGAAAGTACTCAGTTACCACTAGTATTCAGGTACTGAAGATATACTTTTATGATAATAGTCATGAAACAAAATGTTCAGAATAGTGTCAGAACAATTAACCATTTAAAAATCAGAGTTCTGACACTTTATTTTTAAAGACATTTTGTTTTAAAGCAAATCAAAGTGCTCCTAGTGAGGAAGAATGAAAAGCAGATCTGATGAAGACAACTTCTTAGATTGCTTCTAGAAAACTTTAACAGCTAACAGGTCTTTTCCTTATGTTATTTTCAGGGCAGTACTATGGGATGCCCTGTAAAGAGATCCTATAGTATTACTGATAACTAACTTGGCCAAGATCCAAGATGGGCAATGGGTTATAAATGAACTCTACTTTATAGAAAAATGCATTCCAGGCAAAATTCAATGTACTTGCATAAAGTACATATGATCTTCTTTTGAAGTAAAAAATCTGATGTTGCCTAAGAAGTGCTCCTATTATCACAGCGTAATGTGGGCTTATTTGATTCATTTCCGTGGAGTTTTGTTGAGCTTTTAATATCTTACAATAGTGACATGGCACTATTTTAGGTCTATAAAAACATAATTGTCACAAGTCACACAACAACATGATAACTAGCAAAAATTCCTGCACTCTGAAAGTCTTAGCTTAACAACTATAATATGAAATGCTCCAGAGGATTCAAAGAAGCACTTAAATGACAGATATTATTTAGTGACGATAAATGAGGATTATTTCTTAAAAAGTTGTTCCAGTTTCTCTTTAGGTAGAACAAGAAAATGTTTCATGAGATATAATCTTGCTCTATGCTCTCCTGACAACACTCCCAACAGAAAGCTTCCAGTCTATTTGCTGTTTCTTGGCTGATGAGACATTCATCCTTCAATTCTCTGATTGTCTTCCTCAATGATTTTTGGAATTGTTTTTCTCGGTCTAAAACATTCCGCAGAGTTTCCTTGGCATCCTCTAGCTCGCTGATTACGTGATCTAATTTATGTTTAAGTTTCTTTGGACTGTCCATTACACTGTAGCTATGTTCCTAAAAACATAAAGACCAAGTTATTAAACTATGTAGACAAGTGGTTAGATGAAAGTTAATCTAGGCCTCAACTGTTTCTTCATTTATTATGCTTGGAGAAGATCTTTAGGTTAATTACTGGTAATATTTAGAGATCTGAAGAACATAGGAAGACAATAGGGGTACAAGCAGTATTTAGACTGCCCAGGGTCTTTTGCCTTTTTCTAAGACCTGGCATACATAAGGAGAAACATTAATTGAAGAGAAACATTTCTCATCTGGGAGTAGTTATCTGCTATGAACATCATGACACTGTCTCTAGAGCTTTAGCAGCCTAAGTAGTTGAAAGTTTACCTACCACATAGATTTAGACTGCTGAATTTTTAATTGAGTTACTTTATTTTGAGGAATTTATTACTTCATAAAAGATGACAGGAAAGGAACACAGAACCAGGTCTTTTGATTGGTATTACAGTTTGTTTGCACTCCGAAAAAGTCTTAGCTTAACAAATATAATGCATAATGCTTCAGAGGATTCAAAGAAGCTGCACTGCTGTAATGCTGGAAACTAAGCACTGGTATTCAAAATACCAGCAGAGTCACCTATGGTGGACAGGTTTCAGTGGAGCTTTAGACTAAGACAGATGTGGAAGTCTACTTCTGAAAAAACTGGCCACTGAAAACCTTATAAATAGCAGTAGAACTTTGATATAGTGCCAGAAGATGAGCCCCTCAGGTTGGAAGGTACTCAAAATACAACTGTGGAAGAGCTGCCTTCTCAAAGTAGAGTTGACCTTAACGATATGGATGGAGTAAAGCTTTTGGGATCTTCATTTGCTGATGTGGCACAACTCAAAATGAGAAGAAACAGCTGTAAACATCCATTAATAATCAGAACGTGAAAAAAAACTATAAAACCAAAAGAGACCTACATAAATGGAAGACTATACCATTCTCATGGATAGGAAGCCCTAACATCATGAAAATGTCAACACTAACCAAAGCAATCTACAGATAATGAAATGCTGATCCAGATTCCATCATCTCCCTTTAAAGAGATGGGAAAATGAATCATCAACTTTATATGGAAAGGAAAGGGATCCCCAGATAAACAAGGCACTACTAAAGAAGAATAAAGTAGGAGGCCTCACACACTCTGATCTCAAAACCTACTATACTATACTATACTATATAGCCACAGTAGTTACAACCGTCTGGCACTGGTACAGTGATAGACATATAGAATAATGGAACAGAATTGAGAATCCAGAAGTAAATCCATGTACATATGGACAGCTGATCTTTGACAAAGGGCCAGAACTCATTAAATGGGGAAAAGAGTTTCCTTAATAAATGGTGCTAGAAAACTAGATACCCATTTGCAGAAAAATGACACAGAACCTGTATCTCACAGCATATACAAAAATGAACTCAAGTTGGATCAAAGATCTGACATAAAACTTAAAACCGTAAGGACCATCATAGAAAAATAGGGACAAACTTAGGGGCACTAATTCAAGGCTTAAATACACTATCAAATATAACTCAAAATACACAAATACCAGAAGACAAAATAGATGACTGGGACCTCCTAAAAATGAGACACTTAGGCCCACCAAAATACTTCATTCAGAAGAGTATAAAGAGAACCCACAAACTGGGGGAAAAAGATTGGCAACAACATATCAGACAAGGGGCTAATGTCTAAAATTTATAGAAAACTTTAACAATTTAACAACAAAAAGACAAATAATCCTATTAAAACAGAGTACATGAACACACACTTCACCAAAGAACAAATTCAGGCAGCTAACAAACACTTGAAGAAATGCTTGCGATCATTAACTATTAGAGAGATGCAAATCAAAACAACAATTAGATATCATCTCATCCCAACACCAATAGCAAAATTCAATAAGACAGAAAACAAATGCTGGCAAGAGTGGTGGAGACACTGGACCCCTTATACACTGCTGGTGGGACTGTAAAATGTACACTACTATGGAAAATGGTATGGCACTGTCTTAAAAAACTGGAAACAGAAATGCCATTATGATCCAGCAATCTCACTACTAGGTATATATCCTAGAGAAATAAGAGCCAGAACACAAACAGATAAATATGCACAGGTAGCACAGTGTCTAAGGCACTTGATGCTAACCGGAAGGCTGGCGGTTCAAACCCATCAGTCACTCCTCGGAAGGAAGATGGGGCAATCTACTTCTGTAGTGATACTGCCTCGGCAACCCAAGGAAGGGTCACTATAAGTTGGGCTCGCCTTGACAGCACATAACAACAACAACAACATGTTCATCCTAGCACTATTCACATTAGCAAAAAGACAGATACAACCTAAATGCCCATTAACAGAGGACTGCATCAACAAACTAAGGTACACATACACTATGGAATACTAAGCAACATTAAGAACAATGATGAATCTGTGAAACATCTCATAACATGGATTAATTTAGAGGCCATCATGCTGAGTGAAGTTAGTCAATCACAACAGGAAAACTATTGTATGAGACTACTATAGTAAAAAGTCAAGAGAAGGGTTTCACAAAAGATGAAATATTCTTTTGATGGTTACCAAGGGTAGGTGGGGAAGGGAGAGTAAACTACTAACTAGAGAGTAGACACATATTAACTTGGGTGAAGAAAAGACAAAACAACAACAAAAACAAAAACAAAAAAGAACAACAGTCAATTACAATGCATAATAGAATAATATGTATTATATATAATAATAACAAAATAAACTAATTAAGAATTAAAAAAAAAAAAAGAGAGAGAGAGAGAGAGAGAGAATGAAAGAAGAGCCAGGAGTGGAACATGTCCTTGGAATTCTATACTGGTGACATTTTCACCTTTGGAAGTACCCTGGTCCCAGATATGCACATCCTCTCCCCTGGGCCACTTTTCCTCATGTTCTTCCCTCCCTAGCTCTGAGCTCCATTATTCAATGTACTCCCAATTAAGCATTTCCTAAACATTTGGTATGCAGTCTTTTTCTATCAAAAACATGAGTTAGCTTATTTTTCAAGATCCCTTTGAGTCCACAACACATTGATTTGGAGTTATGGAGAGGAGTCAAAAATAAATAAATAAAATAACAGAAAAATGGAATATATGAAGTATGCATTTAGAACAATTGGAAATTTAAGAAAAAAAACAAAGAATGCATAAAGATTGATATCCTAGGAATTCAAGAGCTGAAATGGACTGGTATTGGCCATTCTGAATTGAACAATAATATCTACTATGTCGGAAATAACAAATTAAAGAAGATAGGCATCACATTCAGAATTAAAAAGAACATTTCAAGATCTATCTTGAAGTACAATACTGTCAGTGGTAGGGCAACATCCATACTCATATATTAAGACCAATTAATACAACAGTTATTCAAATTCATCCATCCACCAGTAAAGCCAAGTATGAAGTGTGGTAGTTCAGTTTGTATGTCAACTTGGCTGGGCCTGGTTGAGTGACTGGGCAGCTGGATGTAGTATTCCCCATGATGAAACTGGCAATCAACTCCATGGTGGAATCTACTGGGAGCAGCTGAGTAGCTGCCCTAGGGATGTGGTCTGCTTCCTAAATATAAGGAGAAGCCTTAGGAATGGTCTCTAGCCTATGGCATGCTTGGACCCTGCATGTAGCCATGTCATTGCTCAGCAGCCTGCTATGCTCTGCTGACCTTGGGACTTAAAATGGACTTAAGTTAATGGCCTGCTGTGTGGTTTGGTAACATCGGGATTCTGCCTTTTCACTTGTCAACCTTGAATCTTCTCAGCTTCAGCAGCCAGTGGCTGGCTGAGTAAAGAAACACCTCTAGCTCCAGTGGGCCAGGAGCAGGAGGCAGAGCTGGACCCCAAGGTTGAAAGAATAAACTCCTGATTATTAAGGCCATCCCATTTGTGGTGTATTCCTGTCAGAATGGCACTAGGTAACCAGAACATGAAGAAACCAAAGACTTTTACCAACTTCTGCAGTCAGAAATTTATCCAATATGCAAAGAAGATGCACTGATAATTATTGGTAATTGGAATGCAAAAGTTGGAAACAAAGAAGCAGCATTGGTAGCTGGAAAATACAGCCTTGATGACAGAAATGATGCCAGAGACTTTGGAACAGAATTTTGCAAGATTAACCATTTATTCATTGAAAATACCTTTTGTCAACAATATAAACAAAGACCATACCTGTGGACCTCACCATATAGAATACACAGGAATCAAATTGACTGTATCTGTGGAAAGAGGCCATGGAGAGGCTCAGTATCATGAGAACAAGACCAGGAACTGACTGTGGAACAGACCATCAATTGCTCATATATAAGTTTAAGGAGAAGCTGGAGAAACTTACAACATGTCCAAGAGATCCAAATACGACCTTGATTATATCCCACCTGAATTTAGAGACAACCTCAAGAACAGATTTGATGCGTTGAACATCAGTGACTGCAGACCAAATGAGTTGTGGGCTATTATCAAGGACATCATATGTGAAGAAAGCAAAAAGTCATTAAAAAGAAAAAGACCAAAATGGATGCCAGAAAAGACTCTGAAACTTGCTCTTGAATGGAGAGTAGCTAAAGCAAATGGAAGAAATGGTGAATAAAAGAGCTGAACAAAAGATTTCAAAGAGTGGCTCAAGAAGACAAAGTAAAGTATTATAATGAAATGTGCAAAGACCTGGTATTAGAAAACCAAAAGAAAGAACATGGTGGCATTTCTTAAGCTGAAAAGATTCTACCCTTGAGTTGTAATACTGAACAAAGCTCAATGGGCAAAATATTGAAGGATGCAGGAAGCATCAAAAGAAGATAGAAAGAATATAAAGAGTCACTGTACAAAAAAGATTCAGTGTTCAACCATTTCAGGAGGTAGCATATGATCAACAATGGATGGTAATGAAGGAAGAAGTCCAAGCTGCACTGAAGGCATTGGAGAAAAACAAGGCTCCAGGAATTGATGGAACACCCACTGAGATGTTTCAGCAAACACATGCAATAC